GAGTGTCCTTTAAAGGTACGTAAAAGACTTTTCTGAAATAATTTTAACTTTTTTAAAAAATAATTGGTTATTGACAAATATTATCACACATTTTAAAAAAGGGGGAAAAACTTTAGTTTCACAGTTTAAAGATAAATTTCCCATCATGGTAGAAGGCAAAGAAGGTGGAATAATATACTGGTCAAAAAAATAAAGGGAACACAAACGTATAGGATCCTATACGTTTGTGTTCCCTTTATTTTTTTGAGCAGTATATAATGCAATTCATGACAAGGAGAATAACAATCCATCAAGAGACCTCTAGTGGCAGGTTGCAGAATCACTCAATAGTATGGGTGAGTGTGTGTGTGTGTGCGTGCGCACACACACACACACACACACACACACACACACACACAAAGAGATCCCAACCTCAAATTTAATTCCTCAATGTTTTAGTTTTTTAGAAGAAGTCAGATACTACAGGGAATCTCAGATGTCCTAGTCCTAGGAAATTGGAGAATTCTGCAACAGTTCACATGCAGTAAGATAGAAAGTGAAATAATTATTTTATAGGATCTACTATTAACTATTTCTGTTTTTATAGAATCCTTAACCAGCATATTCTATTTTACTTCAGTTTAGTGATTCTGAGGTGCAAATGTTTACGTTTTCCCCACTGCCAAAAATTCTTTAAATGCATTACAATCATAAATTTGCCCCAAAGTAACTTACATCCAGGTGCCAATGAATCTCGCACCCTTTTTTAGCTCATTGCATAGTGGAATAGGGTATGATTGTACTTGCCCAAGCTGCAGCGTAAAGGTGAAAAAAAAAAAGACATTATGTTTGTGCTGAGGATCAAGTAGCTGATATTAGAGGAAATAAATCGTTCCTACTCCGTTTGTAAAAATTCCCATGTACTCCCAGCCCTGAGTAAACTATTCTTAATTTACTCAGATGTTCTAAAAGCTACACATAAAGACTGTCTAAACATTTTTTCCAAGTTTTATTATGCTTTTTGTACACAGACAATATAAATGGGTGAAAAAACAAAACATTTTCCTGGTTACTTGTAATTTGAAGAAACAATTATTTATCTACACAAACATAACAAATGTGTAGGGAGGTTTCTTTTTTAAAAAAAAAGGGGGGGGGAGAAAAAATCATGTCCATCAATTACAGAAGGACATACAAAATATATACAGGATGAAAGTCCTGAATTTCTATTTGGGAAGGTTTGTTTGCCGATTGCAAGTTAGTCTTAATCATTTTGCCTGATGTCTATTTCACAGTTCATTTCTCGCCCCCACCCACCCACCATATTTAAACATGGGTTGATCAATTATATGTTTCCTACACAAAATTTTGAAGACTCACTACTCTACATCAACAAGGGGAAAGACTAAAACTCTTGATTGAACGAGAAAATGAAAAGAAAAAGAAAATGTCAGAGAGGGGAGGGAAATTAAACCTCTTCAAACTGGTGCTGTCTAGTCTATTCCCCAAAGAAGGCTCTTTCAGAGATACTTCCTTATGCATTGAACAAAAACGAAACGAAACAAAAATTCAAACTAAATGCAATTTTTTTTTCTTTTTTTAAAAAATATACAACTCACAAAGTCATTTTTCACCGGACTACACTACGGGCACCAACAGGTCAAGCTTAGCATTGGTTGTACAGTAGTTTGTTCATTACAAAGATTTACAGTCGGTCTTTTAACTGAAGTGGGGAGGGGAGAGAAAAATATTGGAACAAGAGAAGAGCACCTGCACGCCAACCAGGGATGGGCTAAGGATTCAGTGTGGGGACAGAAAAGGACATAAAGAGAAAAGATCATTCGATTGGTAATGTGAAATGCTTGTTGGAACTGAAGTGGGCTTTCAAGGAGCTGTTCCCCTCTCTCTGGCCACCTGTCTCTAATAGAGTGTTAAACTGCGCTGCTTACTTGACGAAAGAGTCGATGGCCCTGTGGGCAAATCCCCTTCCCATACACCCACTTGCACACCTGGTTGAGCACAAGCTACAATCTAATTGAAATAGCGCCTCCATGACCCAGCGTTAAGATTCACCTGAGTTAACTCTGCAAGATCCCATCCCATCTGGAATGACCATACTGGAGTTTGAGTCACAACTCTCCAGTCCTGTAAATTAAATTACTGTTTTAGTTTAAGTCAAATAACAGTGCAAACACAGGTAGGTTTACTTGGAAGGAAGTGCCTTTTTGATCAGAGTTGGAATAATTCTTTAGTATGATGGCAATCTAACATAGCCTGCTAGGGCTATGAGTAGGTTCATACAACATGCCAAGCCAGCACGGCACAGACTTACTTGTAGCTCAGTGTGTTGAATGAACACAACCCTTTGCAATACTTCATAGGTAAATTGTAATTGAAACCAAGCTTAATACAGAGTGTTATGCGAACCAATAGAGTTTTTAGCCCAGGTTTTCACCATAACAAGAGACATAACGTTTGCTTTTGAACTTTTAAAAGTGCTTCATTTAGAATCCATATTTCCCCATCTCTTTGTTGTGTCCCCACCCATTTCAGTAAAGTTTAGTCGCAGGCCCAAGTACCTGGAGAGATCACCTGCTTCTCCCTAGTATTCCTATGATTACGCTTGTTAGTAAGAGTAAATTAAGGGAAAAGTCCACTAGAGTCCTGCTGAACCCAGCGGGGGGCTCCTCTATCTATAGACGCTGAGCTATTAAACGGGTTTACTTTCATTGGAAATAAGTTCTGATCAGGCAGGAAATGCTGCATCCAGAAAAGGGAACTGAAGCATTATACTCCTTGCGGGAAGCGAAATCCTACTGAGAGAAGTAGGAGTAATTTCCGCCATTACACAGCGCTTTGCGAGGGGCAGCGACGCTACGATCGCACAAACTCGGATGAGACTTCCTTCCAAGGAAACGCGAGTGGAACCAGCTTCGAAGAAGCAGCTCACGCCTTTTCCTGACTGGCGATTTCTAATGTCATCGCTGTTGTCATTTATCAGGAGGAAAGGAAAGCTGGCTTCGCATCGCCACAGCAATGGTGAGGTGACACTGTCAAACAACAGTCAGGAAACGGCGTAAGATCTCCTTTCCAGAAGTTATCTGAGATAAATTTAATGGAATTTGCTGCTGAATAAGTGCCTATAGAATTATATGGAGTTTAAAGCCCGTAGTAGAAATTCGGCACACTCCTATGAATGCCTCTTGATCCTAATCCGAGTAAACATATTTAAGGCTGAGTTTTGAACTTGACTGAGTCACTTCCCAATCGAAGCACCTGCTCTACATGTGAAATAATGCCAGTTTGTTTTAATTATGGTTTGCCAAATAAACAACAATTGGCTGGGTGTCTAGGAGACGCACACGCCAAGCAAATGCTATTGTAGCTTTAGTGCAATGTGTGAACAAAACTACTGCATTTCTTCCTCAAAGTACTTTAGATAAGGTCAAGTTTCACACATATGCCCAATCAAGACACCGAAGCAAAAAGGCGCTTTTTACTTGAAAGGAAACTTCACTAAAAATGCAAGGCAACTAACACGAAGTATTTTAAATTCCTATTCCAATACCAGAATATTGCCTTCTAAAATCAACATAAATACTATCCTATGGGATCCAAGCTTGAAATTTAGTGTTGATTAAATCAGAAATGATTTCGGTGAGAAGTACAGTAAGGTCTGGCATGCATTTAAGTAGAATTAAGTGTAATTATTTTGATGTTAACTGTTAAACAAAATTGTCCGAATGGATCCAAATATATATCAGCCTAGCTTTGTTGAAATTGTTATGTTTAATTTTTTTAATCAAGTTTTAGTCTCTTTGGACAATGGTATAAAAATACTAATTGACACACTTCCTAACCACACACCCGACTTTATCCTAATATTAATATGCAAGTGTGTAGATTAAGATTAATATGAAAGAAGGGAAAGGAGTTTTAGATATTTTAGGTTTTGCTTAGGGCAGCCAACCCTCCTATAGGACCCCTGTTCGTTATTTGCGAATTGTACATATATATTTCCACTATAGTCAGCCCGGAACAAGGAAGGGGAAAAGGAAAGGAGGAATTTCCCTTCGAGTTTCAAGCATATGATGCAAGGGTGGTTAGTTTGACTATTGAACCTTAAATCAAGTTTACTCGGAATTACGACCCATTAAATCGAAACATGGTAACAAATGGACACGGAATTGGAGATGTGGAGAAGAGGGGTCTAGAAGAATCCCAAATTTACCGAGAAACCCTTTAAAGGCACGCAAATACCCCTTCATCTTGCCCACCTTTTTAATATGGCAGAATAAAAAGCATCTGCTATCCACCTTCCTGATCAGAGAATGTGCAGAAGAGCTGCGAGCTTTTGGCTATTATCTGGTGGTAAAAGCGATTAAACATCGCGGGCCTAATTTCAAATAAATGCGTGCATATGACTGAGCTGCAATTCGCTGGGTGGAATTTACTCCCCTGTGTCATCGGGTTAAGTTTAGGATATCTTTAAAAAGATTTGATTGCGCGTGTCGCCCGCCAGCCAAAGTTTAAGAGGGGACCCCTTTACCACACCGAACATGGTGGTGGGCACAGGTATAATTTAAAGGTTTTCTTAGGATTTTGGAATAATCTACCCATTCGAAACACCCGAGTGGCGAGAGCTAACTTTAAAAGAAAAAAAAAAGACGCCCCAGCTGCTTGGCCAAAGGGAAAAACCACGGCATGATTTGTTTTGTGCGGGGAGGGGGTCGCTAAGGAAAGAGACATACAAGGTGGAGAATGAAGGGTCGTGATTCTCAGCATTTCGTTGCCATCCACCTCCTACTGAAGAGACGTTGGAACGGCCCCACGGTTTGCGGGCTTTCAGCGTGTGCGAGGAAAGGGAGAGAGGGAGGGAGGGAGGGAGAGAGAGAGAGACTGCGCGTGCGCGGTTGTAGGTGCGTGGCCAGCTAGAGCCGCTTTCAACAGACCGGGAGAAGCAGCGCTCGCTCAGATGCGCAGCGCAAAGCGAGGGCTGCTTCGGACAGGACGGTCGAGAAGGGCGGGAGGGGGCGTGGCCAAAGGCATCTCTCTAGCTGTGCGTGTAGAAGCCGTAGTAGCCGATGTCCTTGGCGCAGGTCTTGTCGCAGTCCCTGGGGGCCAAGGCGGGCTCGCTCTTGAGGGGCGAAGAGCTCTCTGAGGCCGGGGTACCCACCGGAGAAAGCCGCCGGCGCTTGGCCTGCTCGTAAATCCCAGAGTCGGTGGAATCGATGGACTTGATGGACGAGGGAGTCTCGATCCAGCTGGAGTCGGACAAGTCCTTAGGGGGCTTCGAGTCCTCGGCAGGCGGCCCGGCAGCGGGCGGCGGCGGCGGCGCCACCAAAGGGGAGCGCTCAGGGGGCGCCAGGCTGTCGGGCTCCTCCCCGCCGCCAGCCCCGGCGGGCAAATAGGGGTTTCCTCCAGCGCGGGCACCGCTGCTGTTAGGCCAGCACGACAAGGATTTGGCGCAATACTGGGGCGGGCTGCGTGCCCCCCAGCCCGAGGGGTCCGGATAGTAGCCGAGCGGGCGAGCGGTGCAGCCAGCAGCCTGCAGCGGCAGAGCCTTAACGCCGGCGGCCGCGTAAGATAATAGCGTGGCTGCGTTTCCCGCCAAATCTCCGGCGGGGTCGTAGGCTGAGGCGGCCGCGAAGTCCAGCCTATTATTGGCGGGCGTGACGAACCAGCGCTGGGGCGAAGGCGCGGCGGGCTCTTCGGCTTGCTGTGGAGAGAGCAGCCCGTTAGGGTGAGGCACGCCTCGCTCCGGCATGGGTCCTCCGGGTCCCACACCGCCTCCGGCGCCCGCTCCCGGGTGATGGTGGTGATGGAAGCCGCGGGATTTGGCGTAGTTGCTGACGAACTGGTCCTGCAGGAAGGAGCCCGCCGCGGCGGCCGCCATTGCATAACGAGCCCCCGGCACGATCTGAGAGCGGGGAGAGTCATTGGGCGACGGGGTCAAGCGGTCCATATCGCAGCCCGTGTAGATCCTGGGAAGAGAGAGGGCAGGGAAACAAAGCAGAAAGGAAGGGATGTGACTGGCAGATTGGCGAGATGTGATGCAAGAGCCTGCTCTTTTCCCGATTTCCCTCCAGCCCCAAACGGCGCGCGTTCAAATCAGAAGGGCCTGCATTCGAACTACCGAGAAACACGGAGGATGGTGTGTCTTACGTCTGCCTGAGCTGGTAATTTACCCTCCGAAGGAAAGTTAGATCACATTTCTCACCGTTGCCCAAAACTGGCAGAGGCGGCACTACATTGGGGAAAGCTTGCCTAGGCCTTCTTTCGCTAAGCTGCTTAATTATACTGAGAGTGTCTCTGAGCCGGTGCAAAGTAGCAGAACCTCTACTGCCAGAGCACCATCTCGCCCTTAAGCTAAATAGCAAGCTAGCCCACTGCATCGTGCACTGACGATAAACAGCGCGTCTCTATTGCGATATATTGCCTCGGCGACTGTTGGATGGAGCTGCTAGTCTCTAGACTGGAAGTACACTGAGATCGGAGTGCCGGTGACAGAAGAGGTCTTTTAGGCAAGCTAAATTTAAAAGTTAATTTTAACTTTTACATTTCCTGCCTTCTTGGACTAGGTTTGCTACTTTGTCTTTCTCACCGCAGGCGTAGCAACTCAAATAACCACTCCACCCCTCTGCGCGCCGGAAGTAAGTGAGAGCTGAGAGTTGGTGCTCAGGTCTCTCCAAACTGCGCCAAAATCAGGGTGGGGTTTTGATGGACGGAGGTTTTCTGCAACCCCTGCTCAAACTTCCACAGGTGTGCCCTAGCGGAAGAGAATACAATAGACTGCGCCTAACAGGCAGACCCGGAATAAAAAGCCCGCTAAAGATCAATGGGAACGGCCAATAAGGGACAGTGGCTTAGCTAAAGGCATGCTTAGAATCCTGAAAGCTTGAGGTTCTGGGTTGTCCTAGAAATCAACGCACATGCTCGTGGAAATTAAGACTAGAGATAGCCAAGCCAAGGATAGCCCATAGAAGTACAAAGGACTAAAATTCTCCTAAAATTAGGAGAACGAATGGAGGGTGGGGAGGAAGATGAGACGCTCTACTACACACTTGTTTTCTGCTCCGAGATATATAAACCATCTAGCCATTTCCCTACACTTGCTTTTCAGATAGGTTGGGCCCAGAATAATGGGAGTTGTAATCCAATGCAACAGGGGGGGAGTTTGCGCCAGAGATTCCAAAACTAATGGGAGATTAATGAGGCTGGAGTCCTTAAAATAAGCGTAGAAAATAGAAGCCCAATGAAACTAACTTGCTTTGGGGAGGGGAAAAATACTGTTTCAAGTTGTGGAGAGCCACTCTGGGAGAGAATGGAAGAACTGTGAAAGTGGTGGATCTCGGGAATTAAAAATGAGAAGCGATTGATTAAATTATGTGGCCACCTGACTATATCTGGAAACCCTCCTGGGCGCAGATCTTTACAAAATTCTCTTATTCCAAAGGGTTATAAGCTTGACATTGTGAACTTACAGTAATGCAAAGCTTCAAAATTGTAGAACTTGTTTCAGCATTAAAATAGCTTTTCCCTTTATAACTATTTGGTAGCCAAATCTGGATATGGGAGTTTTACTTTACAAGGAGTAAGCTGTATTTCTGCCCTAGTTCTATTAAACAGGATGACCTTGCAAAACTAGGGATTCCCAGAACTTCCCACTTAAGGCTAAGTTTTCCTGACCCATTAAATGAAAAAGAGCCCACACATAACATGAAGCCTGTGTTCTCCACATCTGGAGATCCAGAAAAGAAGAAACTCACTACGTAGCTTCTTTGAGCCCAGGAACCAACAGAGACCTGATCTGCTTGATAAAGTAATCCAGATATGAAACAATGGATAGTGTTGGGTTCCCTAATGTACAAGTAGGAGTATGTTAGTGTTTTAAAAATCCCTTTTAAAGGGAGGGGGAAATTCTCCCTGGTTGGCTGGATACTGCTCCAGTCAATCCTAATTACTGCAAAACTGCTGTTGGATTTCAAACAGAGCTCCCTCCCTGTTCTCCTAGAATTTGTTCTTCCTTTAGTACAGTGTTTCCCAAAGTTGACAATTTTAAGGCATGAGGACTTCAACTCCCAGAATTGCTGGCTGTGGAATTCTGGGAGTTGAAGTCCACATGCCTTAAAATTGTCAAGTTTGGGAAACACTGCTTTAGCAGGACAAGTGGCCACAGGGCCAGATACCCCTGCTCCAGAGCCATTTGGTAGGAACCACAGGCAGGATAGTCTGGGCACATTTATTCCAAGGGATTTGTTTTTATTTATTTTGGTTATTTCCCTCCTTCGTTATTTTGATAACTCAAGGTAGCAAATATAGCTAATGCTCCTGCCTCCTATTTTCCCCCACCACAGCAGTCCTGTGAGGCGAGTTGGGCTGAGAGAGTGACTGGTCCAAAGTTCACCAGCTGGCTTTCATGCCTAACGTGGGACTAGAACTCACAGTCTCCTGGTTTCCAATCACTACACCTTAATCTTAACCACTACACCAAACTGGCTAGTGTCTTAACCACTACACCAAACTGGCTCTCTAGCTCTCCCTGGCAGCTTCCAGAGTGCCAGGAGCAGGACAAGAGGACTAGGCACACTCGTTCAAAATCCATGCCACCATCAATAATCTATCCAGGGGCGGGGGGGGGGAGAGGGGGCCAGAAGAGGGACAAATGGTTGCACCCTTTTCTTCTGGATTAATCAATCCGGATAAGCTACCTCGCCCTTGGCTTGCTCCTCAGGATTGTAGCTTGTCTGGTTTTGTTGTCATTGCCATGAATAGGGTTGGGGCCTTAAATTGTGTATTTTTAATGTTGTAGGCAACCCAGAGTCACAGTATGTGAGTTGGATGGCTATATAAATGTGTTTAATTAATAAACACATAACTGGCTGAAGAAAAGGCACTCAAGTCGTGGCACTAGCAGGAGAAAGTTTATATAACTTGCTTGGAGCAAGCTGATTCCTGAATTCTGCTGTAGTTCAGCCTGGCTTAGTTTCACAAGATGTGTTTCAATTTGCGGGTTTGGTGCCCCCTCCCATTTGGTTCTGGCCACCCCAGCTTTATGCTTTGGTGAGATATTTGGTTGGTGAATCACACACTGGAGACTGGAGAACTTCGAAACAGGAAAGCTAGGTAGTTGTAGAATGTGACAGCCTTTGGGAGCATTCTCAACCTGCATAGTACATCTTGGGACAGTTCACTTTTTTCTCCCCTGATCTTCCCCCCAATCAATCATACTTTCATCTAAATGTATGCAAGTATCACTCCTGGGAATTTTGGGAGGCGTAGTCCAACTCACCTCCCAGATGCCAGATTGTCAACCTTTCAGCTGCCCCAGTTTTCTTTCCTTCAAGGCAAAACTTCAAAAGTTCTGCCTTGCCCCCTCTTCCCAAAGGCCTGCTTTCCTGAGGCTAGCTGGCTCACACTCTTTCTACCTTTTTCTCCTGGCAAAGCCAAGGTGTTTGCAAGCCCCCATTGCTCACTCAGCTGGGACTGCTAACCTCTACTTCAGTTATTTCTGAATAATCTGAGAGAGAGGATTGTGACAAGCTTCAGAGTCATGCTGGACATCAGCACCAGGTCACCTAGAAAGAGGTCTTTCCTTCCTTGCAGTTCAGTTTGGAGTTTTACCCCTCTGCCAACCCCAAGGTCGTTTGCCTATTTACAGTAGAGAGAAAAGATTAGGCAGTCTCTTGGGGTTGGTGAACGAGAAAGCTTCCTTGAACGCCTTTTTCAGTGGAAAGGAGGACTACAAAACAATACCTGATGCCTGATTTTATCCTCATGCTAAGGTTGGGGGAGGGAGGAGTTGAGAGGAATAAATGACTAGTTTCTTCTAAAGCTTAGTTTAAAATTGAATACAGGCTTCAGGACCTCAGCAACATCTTTGCAATGTTTGTAATTGAAGATAATCCTGGAGAAGTCCAGCCTAACAGCGGGGTACTGATTAGACCCCCGGGTGTTTTATAGGATTGAACAGAGACTTGCTGGGGTTAATGGAGTTCTTCGGGGCTGGGGGAAAGCTCTGGGCACCTCAAAATCGTGCCTGAATCATAATTGCTTGTTTCCAAAGGCCTGGTTTACTGAGGGAGCTTATAGAGTTTGTAGTCGGGATTGATATTATCCCACTAGATAACGAGCTGCTTCTGGCGAGCCAGTGGGAAGTTCCTGCTGCTTACTTTCAAAATATTCACTTCACTTTAAACTGGGGGACCACTGTGTCCCACTTCGTATTCCAGGGCTCTCCCTAAAACCAAAAGAGTTAAGCTGGACAGCGGCGGCAGCAGCAGCAGCGGGCAGAAGGCAAGGGAGCAACTCTCTTCGTGCCCTGCTGCAAAAAAAGCTCACCCTTTGGGATTTACCACCTTAGGTTGTGCGTTAAACAAATACAAGTTCTACCTGGAGAAAGACAAAATGCAAAGCTGAGAGCCAGGGATCTCGCCTGTTCCAAATCCTTCAAAGATCACTTAAGTGTTTCCTTCAGGCCCGCTATTGTAACCACTGCTCCTCTAGTTCACATGCTAAGTCTTAGTGCTCCCCCAGTGGATTTATCCTAGGACTATATACCCAATAGCACATATAACCTGCTCTCGAAAGTCGCAGGGTCTTCTTTGGATAAGTCAAAAAGCCCACCCACCATCCATTTAACAGGGCTGGACGTGCCAGAGCCAACAAAAGGCTCAAGACAAGGAACTTACGTGTCGTAGTTGTCTCTGAAGCCTTTTGCGAAGGGGTTGTGATCGATCTTCAGCTGTGTGATCTACAGAGGAGAGGGGAGGGGGGAAGAGTCAAACAGTGGTCTCTCCTCTGCTGATTCTCTGCCTAAGATAAAGCGGATACCTAGCTTGTTTCAGTGTGGGTTAATTCTTTTTAAGAGAACAACGCCCCGGTCATTTCCTCATGAGAATTTCTCTCCTAAAGAGAAAAGGGCTGGAAATAAACGAAAGCTAATTGTAGCCTCTTCCCAGGGACGTGCACCACACAATCTTCCCTGCAAAGTTAATAATTCTGAAGGATCAAAGGTGATTTGTGATCCAGAGGAGAGGAACTTCACCTTCCAGTTTGCTTTTTGTTCTGCCTCAAACAGTTCCGACAACCTCCTTGGAAGGACTACAAAGTCAAGGTCCGGTTTAGGTACCCGGTCTCTTATTTAGAATTAAATCCCTCCTAATTAGATAAGACAAATAAGACTCACTTCGGAACAATTCCTCCGAAGATAGCTGTGCGAGGGGATTAGCAACTAGTCACATGCTCGGAAGTGTCACTTGCAAGACTCTTACTGGCCAGTCGATAAAATGTTTAGCCCAGAGACCACTGCAGAAACTCAATCTGGACCAAGAGCTCTGAAGCATTTGCAGTGAAAAGGAAGGTGCTCTGAATCTCAATTATTTGACAATAGCAGCAATATAGCAACATATACCTGTCACGGTTAATTTAATCTAATGCTCTTTTTCCTATTTTCAAAACAGGCTAAACTACAAGGGGATTGGTTCCCCCCTATAATACCAGGCTGAAATATAGTTGGCTAGTTTACAATAGGTCGGATAAACACAGTCGAAGATTTCTTCCATCCCTTGGCTAAATTATATGGTTCAAATCAAAGTCTTGGTGAACCACGATTAATCTTTCCTACGTCTAATAAAAGCACACAATAGAGTCCCCAAACCTGTAGTTGGCTCGTTGATGATTTAAAGTCTAACACAATCAAAGTCAGATTTATAGATAGGATTTGTTGGTGTGGGCTGCTAATACCCGTTCCCTGGAAATTAATTTAAATGAGTCCCAGCCCCTGCTTTATTTTACTTTTATTTTTTGCGGATGCGAAAGGCATTCTGGGGGTCTACAATAGAGAAGCGAAAGGTGCCTTTCACGAATCAATGTCCTAGATCCAGCCAAGTTATTCTGGCACCCCTCTCGCCTTCTGGGATAGTCGAACGCTGTAGCCACGCATTAAACAACGGCCAATCTGCTGCCCTCGAAAAGGTGCGCCAAATCTGCTCTCAAGACCGCGGCCTCACTCTAGGGCTGGCTCTACCTTAGGTCACAAAAGTAAACAAGTTCCAAACAAATCTGGCCGGGAAAAGGCGAGGTGACTTTGCTCGTGGGGACGAAGGGCCAAAGCCAGTCTACAGAGAGGTTCACGCTTCCGAAGCTGGTTAAAATGCCCAGATCAAAGCGATCTGAAATATTTACTGCTCTTGGAGGACCTGAGGCGTTCCTTCCCCTCTTTTTTTAAATTGCAATTGGGGTTGGGCAGAATCGGGACCCGAAAGCAGGCTTGAATAATTTCGCAAAACAGTTTAGGCAATTAATCCACCGTATCACTTCGTTGTCTGAAATCTCGATTTCCCACTCAAGTTCGGGCAGTTTCGCCTCCACCCTCCCGGCCTCCGTAGCTGCACTTGTGCCCCCCTCCCTCTCCCCCCAAATCCCGAAAAGGCCAGAACTGAGCGAGCGAGAAAAGCACTTTACATCGGTGTTCTGGTAGGCAGTGACGGCGATGAACTGCGTCTCCGGGAAAGTGAAGGTCTGAACCCGACCCGGCTGGCTGGTGTCCTCGGTGCCGTCTTCGTTCACTTCCACCACGTGCAGGCGAGGCTGATATTTGTGGAGGGACTGCAGGACCACCATCTGAAGGCGGAGAAAAGGGTGAGGGGGAGAGAGGAGAAAGGGTTGCATGTTATATTCCAGACCCGCTCCCCAGATCTCCCGGGAAGCCGAACCGCCGCACCAATCTTGCCTTCTCCAAACGGGCTCTTCTCACTCCCTCCCCAATTTCGCGGTTCTAAGGAGGGTCGCCGCCGGGATTTCGCCACCTGTTCCAAAAGCGCGGATCTCCCCCTCGCTTCACCCCACCCCCAAAACCCCGCCGAGGCCGCTTTACGAGCTTCCCACCGCTTCTATCCGAAGCCCTCGCCCGGGATCGCCCGGGAGAAAACCACCTCCTGCTCACACGCTGGTGCGAGCGCATCTTCCCCGCTTAACCTGATTATTGAATCGCCCTCTTTTCCCCCCTCAGGTTTGTACAATGGGGGCTGGGTTTGCAAACAGACTCGGACCCAAATGCAATGAATAGAGCGCAGGATGGGGGTGCCCCTGCCATCTCTTGGTCCTGCAGGGCGCAGCGTCGCCTCTCTCGAGCCCCAACTGACCTGCCCATTGTTGTTGGACGCCCCTTTATTGTTGGTCAGTTTCAGTTTCCCGAAGGAGATTTCTTGGCGCATCCAATGGGCTCCTGTGTTGGGCGAGTCCGGGTGCATGTAGACGCGGTTTCCTGAAAAACGAAAACCCCGGGTTTTGACAAACCGCAAACAAACGTTGGAGAGAAAGACCTTCACCCAGCACCTCTTCCCTTCTCCTTCTCTCCACCCCACCCGAACCCTTCTTGGAAGAGTCCTACAATTCCCCAGACCCCCCAGCTTTGAGAAAACAGAATTTGCTCCTTCATTTTGTTTACCGCGTGTGACACGTTTTTAGGTATTTCAACTCGGGAAGCCGAAGGAAAGAAAGCGGGAATGGGGGGAAAGCAGGGGAAGACCTTCAGCTTTAGCTTCCCCCTGAGTTTTGTGTAACCTTACTGGTCCAAGGGCGGTCCACAAAGGAAGCTTTCTCACCTAAGCCAGCCGAGCCCGGATGCAAGTCTTTGCGCCCGCCCGGGTACGTGCGGTTAATCGGGAGGGAAAAGAGGAACCGAGGAAGGACTTGCCTTGCACGTTGGTATCCGCTTTGCCACAAGGCACCCATTTGCCGCCTTGGAACCGCCAGTGGTTTGGGTCGGCCAGGATGACATCCACAAAAATGTTGTAGTGAGCCGTGGGATCCAGACCCGAGATGTTAAAACTTAAGAAAGGGAACATTCGCCTGTTCGAAGAAAGAAGGCGGGGGGGGGGGGAAAGGAGGGTGAGGAAAAGTGACGGGATTGAAAAGGAGGGAGATCATAATTTTATAAATACATAACTGTCCCCCTGAAAATCTTCAAAAAACCTTTCCTTGAGCGACTGCTGCAGAGGAAAGTACCCGAAGGGCACACCGATTTCGGCATCTTGCTCCGCGCCTTTTTGTTAGGCGGATCGAGCCTAGGAGAAAACGGTCCCCTGCTTACTCGTCTCCAAGTGAATCCGGCTGAAATCGAGGGCTATTTCCGAGGAAACCGGGCTGGCGGGTTGGCACATCGGCTTGTAACCCAAAAAGATCCTCGCAGGGTTTCTACTGTAATTTACCCGGAAGTAAGTCCCAGCGATTTCAATGCCTTTTGCCTTCAGGTGACGGACTGCCAAATTTCAACGCTCAAAAACCAACGCTCAGAAATGATGGTGGACCCCCATCATTCGGGGGTCAGCAAAGGAAGCCAGGCGAAGCTCTTGTTCGCCAGAACGTGCGGCAGAAATGGCCCAAGGTGCACCGAAGACCCCGGCGCCCGTTCCCAAAAGAGATTGCCATCGCGACCATTCTTCGTCTTGTTTATGACTCTTACATAAGTCAGAGCCAGGAAGGAAAATATCGTAAATAAATTGGGGGGAGGGGGGAAGCTTATAGGCCCAAAGATGTATTTTAAGTATATATATATATAAAAAACTAAGAACTGGATTATTCCATCCCCCAAAACAGGAATGCCAGTGTTCTTAATCTTAAAAACCCGAAGCAAAAGGAAAGGAAATAGGAAAAGAAAAGAAAGAAGGAAAAAGGGGGAAAAAAAAGAACACGAGAGGTCCATAGCCAAAGGAGAAGGAGAAAGAATAATAATAACAACAATAATAATAAGAGTTGATGATGATGATGATGGTGATAATACAAGGGATGCGGAACAAGAAGAGAGGAAAAAATGGCAAAAGAAAAATACTTTTGAGCAGACACCGGAGTCTCGGCAAGAGATCCGGCTTTTCCCGGTGCTCTCGCTCGCCCTTTCCCGGTCCCTCAGCCCCCCCTCGTCCTCCTCCGCTTTCTTCTCCGCGGCGTTGCGCCTGGCTTGCATCCTTCGACCTCAGCCGCCGCTTACCTGCCTTGCTTGGTAATGATCATCTCGGTCTGGTGCCGGTGGAACTTCAGCCAGAGCGGCCTGTTGCATAGGTAGACCTGTGCCTTGCCGGGGACGAGGCCGGCCTGGGCTGAGGGGAACTGATAGAAAGGCGAGCCTTGGTAGGAATGACCGTACTGCTGCGGGTAAGGGTAGCCGGCAGCCGGGTAGCCTTGAGGCGCCGCGGAGTTGGAGAGCAGGCTGTTGTATGCTCCGTTGGCGATGACCGGGTGGTGCGCCATGTAGCGGCTGGGGCTGGCGAGCGAGAAGGCGGCCGCGTGGTTGTGCTGACCCGGGTAGGGGAACATGGTAGCGGCGGCGGCGGCCGGGGGAGCCGAGACAGCGGCCGGGGGTTGGCCGGAGGAGGCTGGCGAGGAGAGCAAGTATCGATCCGCCGCGGCTGCGGCCGCCGCTGCTGCTGCTGCTGCTGCCGCTGCCGCAGCCGCCGCCGCTCCATCGAAGGTTGGACGGAGCTGCTCCTGGCCGCCGCCGCCGTCCAAGACGACAGGCGAGAGTTTGGCGCGCTGCTGCTGCTGCTGCTGCTGCTGAGGCGGCGGCGGCTGCTGCTGCTGCTGCTGCTGCTGGGCGTCCCCTGGCGGGTCTTTGGAGTCAGGGAAATTGTCTGCCTCGGCCTGATTCGTCATCCCCCCCCTGGCGAGTTTTTTCAGAGGTGAACTTCTCTCCAGGTTGTCAGCGCTCGCCGAAAGGAGGGCGGCGGCGGCAGCCGGATGGTGATGGGGGTGCGGGTGGTGGTGCTCGTGCAAGACAAGCTCGGATCCGCCCGCGGCAGGCGGGTAAGCGCTGCCGCCGCCGCTGCCGCCAGCGCTCACATGGAGAAATTTCTTGGAGAGCATCATCGACGGAGGCGACAGACAATGCTCCAGCTGCATAGCTCCAGACTCGGCCCGCTTTTTGGCCAAAGCCTGCCCGGGGTAGCGTAGCGGTAGCACGGGGTCGTTTGGGGGCGGGGGACGGGAATCGCCTAAGGCCCCCAGCTCATCATCCCGGGACCCTCGGCGGCGAGGGACCCAAAGCAGCTTCTCCCAACACCCAAGGCTGGTCCCGAACTGAAGCCACGATTCCCTACTGCCCCCCCACACACACCAAAAGCACCGCTCCCTGGGAGAAGAGATTGGCCAATTGACACCGTGCAGCAATCAGCCAAGCCGCACTTTTGATCTCCCTGGTTGCCGAACGCATGAAACGGCTCCTGCCATTGGTTAACCGCTGACAGTAATTTAATTAGATAGACGTTAATTAGGATAATCACCTGGCTCCCGGTCGCACGACGATCGAGGCAAATGAATGTATATGTGTGTGTGCGCTTGCTTGTGTATATATATATATAATTTAAAAATACTTTTTACTGTTATTTTTTGTGCGGGGAGAAATAAAGAGAGACCCTATATAGCCCTACACTACCGTCTCTGGTTACAGTGCAGGAAGTCTGAGACAGAGAATTTGGGCACTGGCGTTCCGCCCCTCTCCTTTCGCGCAGGCCTCCTTTCTGACCACGCGACTCGGGGCTTTCAGCAGCCCCGAAGCCGAGCCACCCTCTCTGGGCTTCCTAGCCGAGCGAGCGGGCAGCCTGGCGTCGCGTTTTCTTCCCTTCGGAGGCAGCTCCAAAGCCCCCGCGGCGTTCGGAGGCGATTCATCAGGGGTAGCGAAGAAGCCCCACCTCTTCCTTAAGGTGAAGCGCTCGGACGGGCCGCTTTGTCCCCGAGTTTCCCCTGAGATAACGCCCGGAAGATTGGGCGGCCCGGTTCCCGCGCATTCTGGCCAGGAGCTGCCCGTTCTTCGTCCCAGCGGGAGCGCGGGGATCTTCCCCGGGCCCGCTTGCGACGCTCCCTGCCCGAAGGAATCGCCGACCAGCCGCAGATACAAGTAACTGCGCCACTGCGTCTCTTCCCCCACCGCCATCCGCAAACACCCCAACTCTTGATTCTCTCTCGCTTTTGAAAGAAGCGTCAGCTGAAGTGCCTGAATGACTGGCTGCTTTGAGTTTGACGCTTGCTTCCTCGGTAAATAAATATTTTATTTGCGCGCAGGCATGCAGGGTAAAGGAATGGGCGGGGGTGGGGGCAAGAGACGCTCCGAGAAAACCACGATATCATACCATCATCCAGTCAGAGCTCGGTTTTTTCCCCCTTCTCTTTCCCCCGTGGCCCTCTCCCCACTCAGGCTTGTGTTCCTTCGGTGTTTTTTTCAATACTTTTCCTCTCACGCCCAGCTCTCTTCTGTGATAATAAGCTTGTCACAAGTAATTACCTGGATTTTGGTAGGAATAAATTAACATCTTGCTAGAATGAGAGAAAAGATGCTCCGGGATTGGTTTGGGGGGGGAGGGGGGAGTTTGGGGAGGGGGGTTCACACGCACGTTTAAAACAATAATAAAGGGTTAGATAAAAGCTTAGATAAAACACGGCGGTGGCCCATTGGGCTCGGTTAAAAAAAACAACGCTCGGTCTGGAAGTCCAGAGGCGGCCAGGCTGCGAGTTCCCTCAGCCGTTGTTCCTCAGGAACCATTACCCGGGAGGTTTGCCTTGAGAGGAATTTTTCACTTTAAAAATCGCTCGAAACTTGTTCGGTTTGTCTCCGGGGGTTTTAACAACATGTAAAAAAGCGTAGGAAAGGTATAATAGTAGAGGTAACAGTAGCAGCAGTAGCTATAATAATAACAGCAACATCTCTACCAAAGAAAAAATGAGAGCAGCCAGGGGGAGCGAATCGTACTCTCCGAGTACAGTAGGAGCCCTTGGCCGTTGCGCTTATTCCTCCTCCTCTTCTACTTTTTGCTGTGGAGACCAGGATGGTCCCTGATTGGCTGTCCGTTCCACTAATCACAGGTTGGCAATTTGGGGCAAGATAGGGACCGTATTATAAATGGTCAGTTTTTCTTTACCATTTAAAAAAAAATCTGTTTTAGATTACAGATAAAGTTGAGAACACCAGGCTTTTCCCCAGAATTAATTCCACCCATCTTTTACCATATGATGGTGACCGTTTTTCCAACAAAGAGCTGGAGGAAGATTGGAAACCTAGTATTTGGCAATGTACATTTTAGTTAATCACCGGTTATTTATTGTACTGCCTACTTGAATTTCAAAATTTGCTTGAGGTTTGACAATTACCCCCCCCCTTTTTTGCCATTCTGACACACAATGTTTGATACATATTAAACACTGGGAGAAGAATCATTAAAATAAATGGGTTAATTTATTATATAAACCCTAGAATTCAAGTTCTGCTTCTAAAAAGCCAACATTCATATTTCTTAGCTGAATTTATTCTATGTGAGAGTTAATTCCACATTTTTAGAATTAATCTCTTCCAATATCACAATACTGATAGGAATAACATTTTAAAAAGAGGAATGAGTTCTCAGGAAGATGAGAAAATATGCTTCCCTAATGGGTTATTGAAAAATGTTCCACTCAGTTCAACAAAAACAACAAAAAATCCATTCAATTAAACAAAGTTTAGTCTCTTATCTTGCTCCCATAATGAATGTTGTGAGTTTCTCTCTCTTTTTTTAACCATACTGTTACAGGCATAAACTTCAGAGTCTACCACATGCAATCAGTGGACAGAAATCTGGCAGTGTGTATGCCTTACTCCCATATAAATCAGTACAGCATTCTAGCCCCAAAGTGGTAACACACTTCAGTCTCCTGTTTCCCAAGACATTCTGTTGTAGCCCATAAAGTTGCTATATTGCAACAACAAGAAGTTTCAAAGGGAAACTCTAAAACAAAGCTGCTAAGTTGGAGTTAATTAATACATTCCCCTAGGAACAGTTCTTGTTGGTCTGTTTCAGCAAAAGCTTATGCCACAATCTAGTCATCAGTGTTTTAAGGTGGTGCAAGTTGTGAGCAATGCAATCTTATGGTACTAATGTCAGGCATAAGAACTGTCTTCTTGCAGGAAGTAGTTTGGTCACACTTCCACTGAGCAACAAAACTGTTGTTGCTTAAATATAGCAGTAGATTAAACAAATATGTTGGGGGGGAATAATGGCAAAACCAGGCCCTCCAAAATTCCAGTCAAATAGCTAACTTGTGAGCCTTGTGGAAACCTGACAATTGGGGTAGTTTAAACTTCTAATTACCTTTCATTTGATGTCCTACTAGTGGTCACAACTGGTTTAAGGCAGATTTTATGAGAGGATGGAAAATGAGCTGCAGTAAGGAGACTGAGATCTGTAGATTGAATAAATGCTAAAAATAACATCCCCATCAATTAAAAATGGCGAGAACTTGTGATTTTTAGCATAGGAAGCCATTGTTTTGCATGATATAAATACTTAAATTCTACAGTTGAATGCTCAACACAAATTCACGTTTTGTTTTCTAATGCCACTTGTTTATTCCAGGTTTATTCAGTTGGACTGTTTAAATTCCACATTCTTAGTTATTAACATATAGTTCCATCCTTTTCTGAGAAACATATATGTATGCATAAATGTGCTTTTGTGCCATACATCTTGAAAGAGCTAATAAAATCCATATTTTTAATGCTTAAAAATTTCATGCTTAAATTTCAGATCAGTTTTCATCACCAATAGACAATACTCACATGTGTTAATTCTGTAACAATTAACACTACCAGATAAAAGATTGCCATATGCAGACTATTATTCTTAATCTGGTTAACAAGGCCCAAGATAATGTAGATTTTGACATAAAAATGCCTCATCTGACCAAAAAGAGGGTGGAAGATAAAATATTAACAAAAGTAATAGAGTGCTGTATCTCTTAGAGTTGAAGTTAATTGGTGCAAGAACTACTACATTGCCTTGCAATTTTAATTTTTTTTTTAAACTGCATCAGACTCCAAACTTCACTATTACATTTCCACTCACTGAGTGAATAGGTTTCAGTTGATAATTAAGGAGTTCCGGTCAACCTAAAGGCTGGATAATTTCAGTGGTGAGAAATTAGAATGGAGTCTTTGGTGGTCTCTCAGCTTGATAGTGACAGCTTTCAGATGTGACATTTTCTTCTATGTTAGATTTATGCTATTAAACTTGCTATATTGCCAACTATAGTAATTTCTTGGTCATTTAAAATTGTCAGAAAAAATACTTGTGGTGTCTCTGAACTTGTTTGCTTGCTGACCCTCATTTACCCTATTAGAATGCATCACCAGTGTTAGTGTGGGGTTTAGTTCCTATTCTTATACAGTAACTTGCCCTGCCAGTGTTGACGGGGTGTGGTTTTCTTTTGATAGTTACTAAGAGTTGCCGACAATGGGAAAATGCAAAGCAGAGCGTACCTCCTCTTATTTGCAAAGAACACAAAAGTATTTCCAAACATTTCTAAGAATGGATAAGTTGATCTCACTTTATTTAAGTAGCTTTATATGTAATCAGTTTAACTTTAAAGCAGGTATGTGTACAATCACTCTCTCAGATCTTCCTAGATGTCTTGAGCTACATCTCTAATCAGGTCTATCCAGCACATCTGGAGTGCACTATGCTGTCACCATGCATTAGAAACAATAACAAAGGTTAAAATAAATGTATTTAATATGTAAAATGTTTGTGTGCATGTATACATTATTTATAACTCACCTTTCTGCACAGTGACTTAATGAAGTTTAAATTAACATGCAAACTGTTTTAATACTAAAGGCAACTTAAAAAATTGTGAACAGGATGTATTTTGAAGGGAAACATTACTTCTGACCTCTGATGAAGTGCATTCTTGGACTGGAATCGCATAGGAATAGCTCTCCATCACAGATCAGAAGCTAAGGGAATATCAAGTTTATTCTGCAAATATTAGGCACAAGACAAGTTATTCCATTCAATTGTCCGATTCTGTTCTGTTTGATCAGTCTGTGTCTTATAGCTAGTTGATTACTGGTACAGTGTAAGTGCTGATTTTTA